AACACGAATTGCACTGAAGCTGAAGGACACGAAGCAATCCAGAATACGACTGTTATCTGCTGTTTTAATATAGAATGAAAGAAGGGCTGAATTCTCTGCTTAACATCAAAACACAAGTGTAGTCCATTCATCACACCTTGACTGAGAGCAGACAGCTTTCAGTACAGCCGCATGGGCTCCACCAAAGGCCAAGCTTCCAGTTAACCCCAGCTAACTCATCACCATACTCTGCTCAGGCCGACAGGCAGCCAAGCCATGATCACCAACTCCTTCCAAGCAGTAGTTTTGTCCTGCACTCCCACCAGAAAGAACAAGCAATCTGTCTTCTCCTAGGAGGGGAAGCCAGCGTTCCTCCTACTCCCTGAGTGAGGAGGGGAAGTACACCCACTGTCTGCTTGAGGAGCACAGCCAGCTGCTGCTGCAGAAGGGGAGCCCTGCATAGGGCATGTAGCATAGAAGAATCCAGTTCAGAGGTAGCCCAGTTTCTTTCCCCACTAACAGACTTTAAAAGAAACCAAACCCACCACTTCTAATGCAGCACTTCACAGCCGATATATCGTCTTTATTCGTGTACTGGGGGTGAGACAACAGAAAATAAAGTAAAATTAAAATGGCTCTTCATGGTAAGCGGGTGCAACTATCAGATTTCTTTAAATCTTAAATCAATGTAAAAGCTTAATTTTAAATATAAGAGCTTCTTCTAAAATTGCAGATGACTACTTTCCATAATCTAATTACAAAATGAAGTGTTTGGTCAGAATGGCCTCACAGACTTCTGCCACAGAAGATGAGACATTCTTAAGCTTGCCAAATATTTATCCTAGCTTCCCCTTCCCCCCCTTTCACATGAAGAAACCGAGCAAACAAACTCTCCCCACCTCCCCTTTAAGCCAGAAAGTGGCAGACCCCCTTGCTGGGACTTGCTGGATTTCCATAACCTGGGCACTGAATTTGCAACTCATTTTCCTTATGCTCCCTCCAAAAATGCCAGCTCAGGCTAATGACAAAACCTAGATCTCTCCCCTCAAACAGACAAAACACTCAGCTAAGGACATGCCAGATACCTTCTTGAGCAATCTGTGTTTCAACAAAGACACTCTGTTTCCAGATACTTAAACAGTCCTCTGCTGTAATATTAAAGTACCTCCCACATTATACTTATAAACATCCTCCCTGTTAAGTGGGGAAAGTTATTCCTATCTATAAAATAGGAAAGAATAAATGCAATTTGCACACGTTCATTGGGTGCCATGAAGGAAAACAAAACAAAGACCTTACAGAGATGCTCTATATTCTTCTATAGGAAGCTTTTTTGGTCTAAAATTACCTAGCTCAAATAAAATGATTGTTGTTGTTGTTTTCTTCTGTTTTTAAAAGATAAAATCAAAATGCAAAAAAAAAAAAAAAAAAAAAAGATTAAGTATAACATGTGCAAGCTGCCTAATTAAATCTACGAAGAGATCGTTCTCCTCAAGATGCATGAGAACAGTCTCAGCTGACAGGCCAAGGAGAAAACGGAGCATTAGGAGCTGCAAAATACACTGATTTCCAGCATCAGCAATCTTTCTGAATTTAATCACTGCAACGTCATGAGCTCTGTGTGCTTCCACCTCATCTTTCAGTGTGATAAGAGCCCCGATGCCATACTTATACCACCTCTCTTCGGCGTGCCTTCAGTTTCTTAAACGTCCCATTTGCACACCATTCCATGGAAGGGTGTCAGCTGTTGCTAAGAAGCTGCCACCACCAGCAGCAGAGTGGTTCTGACGGCCAAGTACCACAGCTCCTCTGGAACTCCCAGCTACAGGACCCATCGGAAAACACTGCCAGAGAACAAAGTGAACCCAGGGACAAAGTGGGCCATCCCCCAACTTGGGATAGGAGTGGATCAGGGTGACATGGGCTCACCTGGGAGAGAGCTCCAGAGTCTCTGTGTAATTCCAGTTTTGTGACTTAGACTGCAGTTCCTTAGAAGAAGTTAAGGACTGGGTTATTCTGAGACCTGCAAGTCTGAGATATCAAGTTATGCCTGGCCAGGAATCCCTTCCTGCATCTTCGGAAAGCAGGCAATGAGGTGCCCCACACGTATCTGACCACCTTAACCTCACACAAATGAGGTTTGACTATCTTCTGTACAGCAAGTTTGCAATAGGATTTGATCATTCATTAAAATGCACTTCCATCAAAGGCTAACAACTCAAACTGTGAGGAAGCTATTTCTCCAAGCTGATTTTGCACAGTCACCTATTCCATCACTGCCTCCAAAATCCATCTGTTATTGAACTTGACAATAACCACGGTTAAAAACATACAAGGAGAGATCCTCAGCTGAACACAGACATTAAAAAATGAGGGAAATGACCAATGCAGCAACGCAGGTGTTTGAATGGGGAAGATACTCATTTCATCTCTGGTCCTGAAGCCATCCATGCAGCATGCATTCCTGTGTTTCACTAAACACACACAAAATCAAGCTGAAAACGGACAGCAGCTTTGTTTAATCCAGGAAGGGATACAAGTGTTAGCTGACCCTGAAGAACGAGCATGGAACTTCCTCAGCAAATTTACTGGTGTCAACCTGACTGCAAAGGGCTAACAGTCATAGAATCATAGAATGGCTTGGGTTGGAAAGCACCTTTAAGATCATCGAGTTCCAGCCCCCTGCTATAGGCAGGGACATCCCCCTCTAGACCAAGGTCGACACTCTCCTCTTCATGCCAATCTCCCTGAGCAACCGTTCATCTCCAGATGTGACTGACCAGCTTAGGGAGCAGAAGATGAAAAGAATGAAGCACAAAGAACTTAGCCACTAGCTGACTCCACAGACAGCTAGTTCTGGTGCAGGACAAGCTTCTGGAGGAAACTAGCTCTTTGATTACCAACATCAAATTCAGTGGAATGGAATGCAAAGCCCACAGCCCCAGCTCTTACGGAAGGATCCAGGAATACCAACTCAGCATCAGTTTCACAGCCCTAGGTATTTTCTAAACAACGAGCAGGCTGCATTCTTGGAAAAATACATAGGTTTTATATTTTGTGGCAGTTTGTCTCTATTCCTTTAATGACATCAGCTTCAGGCAGCTTGTTGCCTCTTTAGGACTTAGATATTAGATGTCCAATTCCATTTCTAACCCCACAATACATGCAAATCTAACCAGTTGGTGGTAGCTGTTACATCCTCCTAATCATCACCTCTTCAGGTAACACAGTTTCAGAGGAAAAGAATCATCCTTGGTTTTGTGCTGGTACTGCACAAGCATTAAGAAAACCTCAAACAACTCACATAAAAATAGTGAAGGAGCCCCTAAAATTAGTGTGATAGTTATGCTGCTACCAACTTACCAACTTGGACTACAGGTTAAAAATTGATGCCATGATAGAAGAGGTGTTAGGAATACCAGGGCAAGAGCTGTAGTTGCTGAACACACAATAGAATGAAGAAAACCAAATTGTGTAATTACAGGAAGAGAAGCCTTGGGATATCACAAGAACAAATAATAATTGGGTATCAATACAGATTCCAATCAGCTTACAGAGATTACGTTCATCATCAGATGCCATCTCCAAATTGTCTTCTCCACAGGTATTTCTGAAACAAACAATGCCTCCCCAAAGTACACGTTTTTAAACATTTCCAAATGCAGTGAGTTCAGTTGATTGAGTTTCACAAGAAAAAAGTAAACCAAAGTGAAGTAAGGAGGTGTCTGTTTGCTGCCAATGGTGACAAACATTTGACAGTACTGCACTTTTTACCTGCAGAGTAACTGAAGTTTAGAAAGCTATGTAGCAACAGCAAGGAAGCAAGAAGCTTCCCATATCTGCATCTTATTTCCTACCCAAGCAGTTCTTCTTGTGGTGCAGGCGTGCACATCTGCATTCTCCTGAGAGCACAGTGGCCTGAAAGGCTAATAAAGGAGCTGTAGATCTGCAGGTTAGAAGCTCTGCCTGAGCATATTTGATGTTACATTAAAAGCAGTTCCCAGCAGGAAGCTACCTGACACCTGTGCTTTCACTTTGACTCCTGAGCTGCACTGAGGCCGTTAAAGCAACAGGACCACAGATGCTTAAACCAACCTAAATCAGCCCTCCAGCCCTACTCCCTCCCAACCCTTGCTTTGTCAGTATTAGATCCTGTGCCAGCAAAGCGAGAGGCAGAAGGCTGATCAACCTGCAAAAGCATGCCCTGGAAAGAAGGCGGGTTACTGCAAAATAGCTGGAAACAACTGGCTTTCTGGGATTGCTACAAGCCTTATTTGTTTCAGCTGGTGTTAGAGGGAATTACAGGGAGGCCACAAAAGCACCAATCAGTGCACAAACAGCACCATGAGATGAGCCAGTAGCATCACATCCCCTCATTTGTTAACACTGCACAGCTATGGTACCTCCACTGCAATACGCCTTGGACATCTGACAGGAGCACAGCTCTCAGTCAGCCCACACCCTTCTCAGATGCCCAGTGATCACATGGATTTGGTCTCCCCACAGCAATATTCCTCTGCTTGCAAAAAAAAAAAAAAAAAAAAAAAAAAAAAATCATGGCAGTGTGACAAAAAAATGTGAATAAATCCCAGCATTTTCAAGAGCTAGATCCACACTGCTAGCAGAGCAGGAACAGCAAACACACAGAAGATGCCAGAGCTGCTGATGGAGATCTGGGCTAAGCCCGGTGCCTTGCTCTGCCTCATTCAGGATCAGGTTGCTGATGGTAAGGAATAAGAATGGATGCCACAAAGTCCCTGGGCCCACAGATGACACAGATCAAAAGGTGACACAGCGGGCCCAAAAAATGTAACAGGAGGAGGCAGTGGTGGCTGTGACATCTCAATTTATCAAGAATTTTTAAATTTTATTTAGCCAACGATGCTGACTGATCCCAATAATGAGAAACTGGCTGAATGGTTTCATCTTTCAAGGCCAGGCTGGATGTGGCTCTGGGCAGCCTGGTCTGCTGGTTGGTGACCCTGCACACAGCAGGGGGTTGAAACTGGATGAGCATTGTGGTCCTTTTCAACCCAGGCCATTCTGTGATTCTGTGATCTATCATCTCCATCCTCAAGACGGTGCCTGCTACTGCAATAGAGAGTAAGTAACATATTTCTGCTCCAAGAAGTGGCAGGAGGAAAAAGCTCTCAGAACGACATTATGAGGTAAAGAATGAAGCTGGAAAACCACAAGCAGAAAAATCAGAAGGTTCAAAATATCATCATAAACAAATAAGCCCAGCAGTTATAAGGAGTATCACAAATTAAGCAATTGCAACTCTTTTAATCTTTTTTAGTAAAGCCTCAATTGTGTCGGAATAATCAGTGCTGTACCTTTACAAAAACACCCATTGAGCCTTAAGACCACACGCTGGCGATGAACAGGAAGGCACTCTCCTTGTACATGGGATGATTTTAAAAGCCTTTTCACAACTCTGGAGAATATAAAATAGAGAAGGCTGTGAGGATAAACTGTTCTGGCACTTGTTCATCCAAATGAAGACACTGGCGTTTTGGCTTCTATCACCCAGCTGTGCAGGTTCAGGTTAGTTCTGACTACTGCTAATCCTATTTCAGTGCCTATAAAAATAGAAGTCTCCTCACTCATAAAAGCAAGAACACAAGCTAACATTAAGTGAGTAGCACTTTATTTCTGGCATTTGATTTTGCCATTACTCTTTCTTTGGGGATAACAAGTATGAATTCTTCAAAGTCAGAATTCCAGCCCTACACACACAACCATACCTCCTTAATGCAGGAAGGCAACAGCAATGTTGGAGTACTGTGTCCAGGTTTGAAGATCCCAGTACAAGAAAGACAGGGAGCTGTTGGAGACAGTGCAGAGGAGAGCCACAAAGATGATCAGGGGACTGGAGGACCTCCCCTACAAAGACAGGCTGAGGGAACTGGGCTTGTTCAGCCTGCAGAAAAGAAGGCCGCAGGGTGACCTCACTGCAGCCTTTCAGTACATAAAGGGAGCCTATGAACAGGAGGGGAATCAACTCTTGACAAGGGTAGATAACAGCAGGACAAGGGGAAATGGTTTTAAGTTGAGGGAGGGAAGATTTAGGTTGGATGTCAGGAGGAAGTTCTTTACTGAGAGAGTGGTGGGGTGCTGGCACAGGCTGCCCAGAGAGGTTGTGAATGCCCTGTCCCTGGAGGTGTTCAAGGCCAGGTTGGATGGGGCCCTGGGCAGCCTGGTCTGGTATTAAATGTGGAGGTTGGTGGCCCTGCATGTGGCAGGGGGTTGGAGATCCACGATCCTTGAGGTCCCTTCCAACCCAGGCCATTCTGTGATTCTGTGACTCAATGTAAGAAACCTCCAACCCAATCTAAGACTTAAGAAGTGCACAGGCCAAATAGTGCAACAGACTACTATAACCTGCCCAGTTCCCTGATCCTGTTCCTCGGGCTTAGGAGAGGACCACAGGGCACAAAGGTCTGTCCTAGAGTCAGACAGAAGTACTTACTCATCTTTTGTTTCCCTCTTAAAGTTGTATTAACAAACAGCAAAGATGATCGTGGCCTAGCAAACCCAGTAATAAAATATGAGTTAACTACAAATTAAAGGAGTAAGTGTTCTGGTCTGCTATAATAGCCTGTACCCAGAGGGGATCAATAAGAACTCTTCAGTATTTATTAGAAGCCAAGGGAAGGCTGCTAAGGTATTCTTAAAATGCTTTTGAGCCTGATGAGTTCAAAGGCAGGGACTGTCTCCAGGCAGAAGGTGACTCAAACAACGCTGCTTTCAAACCCAACCTGGGAACATACGGTATGGAATAGGTTAGGCTTTCCAAAGGATATAATGGAGATACCAGACCATGATTTATTGCTCCATCATTCTAACCACTTATTTTCCCTATGGTGGAATCTAAGAGAAAGTGCAGATGCAGATCAGTGACAGCACTTCTCAGTCTGGTTTTAAAAGACACGTACAAAAACTGGAGGCAGCATCTCTATGTAACACTCCTTGTTGCAGCACGCACCAAAACAAGTGCATTTAATTGCTGACAGTAGGGAATTACGTGCAGCACTTGATTTAGGCAAGAACTGTTTTGCGGAGAACTGATAATCTCACTGAATACAGACACTGTCAGAACGTACAGTGGTAGCTGAGGAGAAGCACAGCAAGTAATAGCAATTATACAGCACTGCTGCACTTCTTTCTTTCTCTGCTATAAATTTAGCTTACATGCTAGACACCCAAGTTACATAAAGTTTACTTATAGAAGCACTCTGAACTCCAGCTTTTAAATAAGGATCATGATCAGGGAAAAAAGTCAAAAAAGAGCTACAGTAGAAAATTTCAGACACTTGATATGAATTAAGTTGTCCTCAAAGACACAACAGACACTGGCATTTCTAATAGTCCTTTAAATGAATCGAAATTTCATTCTAGCAAGTATCCACGAGCATGCTGCTTTTACTTATTCCTGTGTTTCATCTGCTCGGTGCCCACAAAAGAAAGATTCCTCTGAGAGCCTGACCCATCCCAAAAGCACGGATGACAGCTTCAGGTCCAGCAGGGTTAATGTGGTTATCCACCACAGTCTTGGGCTCAGCCACAAAAGGAGCCAGTCAGCAGACTGGGAGATAACCCCGGAGGATAGACTTCTCTGTAACTGCAAATTCCAAAATAATTACTCCACTTCAGGAGCAAACGTTCTCCTGAGAGCAGAGGTACCTCAGCAGGGCTGCTTTAACTAATCCCAGTAAAGCTCAGGCCGTCAATTCTCCTCTCCCCCCCACAGAGGCGGATATTTAATTCCCCTCCGTCTTGGGCACGCTGTAACATAAGCAAGGATGGATGACAGCTCAGTTTGCACCGGGCACCAACATACCTAACCTTTCCCTGTTTGGAGCTCCGATGGATTCAGGCCAGAGGCTGAGGAAGCAGCAACAAAGCCAGCAACGAGCATGGGCTAAATGAATGAGGAGCCGCAGGAAGAGCCTCACTGGAGGAGAAGGGAAGAAGGAACCCCACCACGCCTCCTCCTGCCCTGAGAAGCAACTGCTTAAAGAAAGGACGGGAATTTTTAGCTACTTGCTAACGCTTCCCAGCGTTACCCAGAAGTATCGAAGTCAATGAGCTCCTCACATGCGATATCTGTGTGAGGAAGCTCCACCGTCGTAAGTTCAGCAAAAAAATCAAGGTAAAGATTAGCTCGCATCGGGAATGTCAGCTTAACGGCACCGCCGCCACCCCACCCAGACAATAGGTGGGAATCCTGCACAGACACCACACGCTCTCCAAAGGGCCGACTGTACGAGTCCATCTCGACGATAGCGCTGGAGGCCAGGAGAAGTCGGCGCACGCTGACACACATCGACGCTTTCATTCCCGTCAACCCTCATCCGATTCCAGCCCCGGTGCGGTTCCAGCACGGCTCCCACCCCTTTCCCTTCCCGTTACAGAACCTCAAACACAAGCGGGGTGGGACGAGCTCCCAGCCCGGCCCCGGGCTTGCGGAGGGATGCCGGCGGGGGGCAGACGGGCCTTCAGCCCCACATTGCCCCGGTGGAGCTCCCGACTCAACCGGACACCAAATCCGCGCCCACCGACATTTAAACACGGAACGGAAGGCCGACTTGGCGCGGAGAGAGACGGGAAGCCCCGCGGGCGGCGGGGAGCGGCCCCGGGATGGGCGCAACGGCCCCGGGATGGGCGCAACGGCCCCGGGATGGGCGCAACGGCCCCGGGATGGGCGCACGGCCCCGGCCACAAAAGGCGGTAGCACCATTGTCCGCGCCGGGCCCCGGGGGCGGCGGTGCCGGGGGCCGCACCCCGCCGTGGGGCCCCGCCGCCTCCCTGTCCCACCCCCCGCTCCCCGCCGGCCGCGCCCGACTGACGGAGGCGAGACGGCACCGCGGCGCTTTCCCCCACCGGCCGCCTCCTTCCCGCCGGCGGCGCCGCGAGCGCGGCCAGGCCCCGGCCCCTCCTCTCGCCGCCCGCCCGCCCGCCGCCGGAGGAGGAGGAGGAGGAGAAGGAGGAGGAGGAGGAGGCGGAGGCCGGGCCCAGCCGCGGCCCCACCGGCCCCTCGCCTACCTCCACGTCGCGGCCCTTGTTCTTGAAGCTCTTGATGCGGTGGTTCTCCAGGCCGGCGGCGGCGGCGGCGTTCTCGGCCATGGCGGCGGCGGCTCCCGGCAGCTGAGGCGGCTCCGGCAGCGGCGGCTCGCGCGAGGGGCGGGGGGGAGGAGAGGGGGGCGGGAGACGCGCCGTGACGAGCGCGCGCCACAGGGGGCGGGAGGAGAACGGTGGAGGGGGGAGGGGGCGCGCCCGCCGTTGCCGAGCGACTGGGAGAGCGGCGGGCGGCGCTCGGCCAATCGCCGCGCGGCTCCACCCGCTTCGCCCCGCCCTCTCTCTGCCGCGCTCTCCGTCCCCAGGCTGGAGGAGAGACCGCGCTTCCCGGCGCACGCCGCGGCGGCGCGGGGCGTGCTGGGAACTGTAGTCCCCGGCGGCCGGTGGCCTCGCACGTGGAGCGGGCGGAGCCGGTGGCGCCGCGCAAGGGCCTGAGGCGGCCGACGGGCGCGGTGTGTGCGCCGCTTCTGTGCCAGCCTCTGAGCGCGGAGAGAAACTGACCGGGCCTCCCGAAGCCATCGAAAGCAGCACAGCAGCGTGCTGCCAGTGGGTCTGAGGTACTTCAGTCACACGTAGCATTGCCAAGCTGGACACGGGGGTGTGTGAGGTGAGGTGACATCGGGTACGGAGTGCCGAGGTGATGTGGTGGACAGTGAGTGCCTGCCGTGAAGAAGAGTGTGTTTCTTGTGGATAGCATCCGAGAAAACCCCAAACCCACTCCCCTCAAAAACCCCGAGCCATGTCATGCTCACACCTAGCTCATGTTATGCCGCAGCCCCACAGAGACAGGTCTCAGTGCTCCCTCACCGCCTCCCCCAGCCCCGTTCTGTCCCTCAGCTCCCAACTCACAGCTCTGCAAACCGAGGCCTGCAGCCTACTGGGGGATGGATGCAATCTGGAGAACCGGCGCTTGTCTGCTTTTCAGCCGCGTGCCAAATGCTTGTATCCCAGGGCTCGATGTAGCATATCCATCCCTCTTGTATGATAGTAGCTGCCAACAGATGCTCCTCTGAGCATCTATCTGCCACATTGGGAGCAATGGACAGCATGACCACATTTGTCAAGATGGCCATGTCAGGGGTGGCTCCTAGGTCTGACGCTCACTGCTGTGAAGGAGAATTGGATCCAGCTGCCCAGCTGTCTTCAGGAGAGCTGCCGAAGCAGATTCAGTAGCTGAGAACTTTGCTTTGCCCGCCAAGGAAGGTGGTGCAGCCGTCAGCTGTGGTTATTCAGAGCCACTTGGACATCAGAGCGGTGCTGGCAACAAAGGAGCTTTGTTCAGATCCATTCAACTTAACCTATGAGGTAAAGTGGAAAACTTGTGAATAAAAAATGGGAAACCTACAGGCTGAGGCAACTCAATTTACCAGTCCGTAAACCTACACCCACCAAATAGGTCGTATTTTTATAGATGGTGGTAGTGATCATAGTATCATAGAAATGCAGGGAGGGATTGGAAGGGATCTCAACATATCATCAAGTCTGGCTGCCAACTGCTACCACTGACTCCAAATCAGAATCACAGAATAATAGAATAACCCAAGTTGGAAGGCACCCTTAAGGATCATTGAGCCCCATTTCTTCCTGCTCATCGTATAAGCCTGTCAGTTGCTGTGGTGCATTGGGCGAGTCTTAGTAGACGCTCAGGAATTGGATTCCTCTTAGAGCTACATGGCAGTTTGATTAGTTTTACTGCCTGAATAAAGCTTCTTGGTGGAGCTGTTGACTAGATAATTAAACTTGCATGTACTCAGAGAGAAAACATTCTGATGTAGTTAAGCAAATACTGCTTTTTGGCACTATAATTAGCAGACACTACTAAAATGTGAGGAGTGAGTACTTTGCTGCTTTGGAAACTGAATGAATTATATAGCTCAGGGTGGCTGTTCTGCCTCACCAAATGAGCTTCGTACTGATGTATTCCTAGTCACCAAGATTTTCAAGATACTAGGGCCAAGAGCAGGTTGTTAAGATATATTGGCCCTGAGCAGCCCCCCAGTACTCCATTTCAGCCCCCTCTGGCGGCATCAGTCCCTGCCCCAGCAATGCTGCATCAGGGCTAGTATCCAGTTCCACTACAGCCCTGCCCAGCCACAGATCTGAATGCAACCTGCTGTCCTGTCTGGACTGAAATAAGGAAAGGTGAAGGGAAGGAAGGAAGGCTGGTTGTGGCCAGTGAAATCTGTGAGTGCCTTCAGTGCCCCAACAACGTACATTTTGTCACTTACGAGTCATAGGGAGGAAAGATTTTTCGTAACAACTCAGAGATGAAGGATTGCAACATCTTTTCAGGTGTCCCACTCTATACATGGAGCTGCGTGCTGCTTTTTTTTTTCTGGGATGACCTATTGGCTTTAGCAGAACAAGCTGACCCAGATGTGGGCAAGATGTGGGAGATGTGCGTGCCTCCTGCTGCTCACTGCAAGAGAGCGGGGCAGCTGGTGAGGTGGTATGATTTAAAACCCCTGATTTAAAACAGACCACTGTCAAAAATAATCTGTATAGTCATACAACTTCTAATCATACTGTTAATTAATCCTCAAAATTCACCTAACCCATTTGTCAGTCTCATGTCTCTCTGGCACATCACAAAATGGGACAACTTGAGTTGCAAGACCTCTGGGACAGTGTAGGACTGCTGACACAGCAGAGCAGGATGGACCTTTCTCTACTGAATTTGCATGTGCTCTCTAATTCCCAGCAGATTTTAACTTATAGGGCTTGCTTTCTGTAGTCTGTTAGAGGGAGGTTATTAATGTTTCTATCACTGATGTCAAAATTTGTCTTGATAGGATAAGTTATGTTCTTAACTCATGATGACTAGGACTTAGTAATGACCACAGAGTAAGTCCTGGTGAAGACCCAAGCTTTGTCAAATGCCATCATCGAAGATAAGATAACAAGCACTGAAGGAGAGGTAAGATAGATCCACCAAAAGAGAAATAAATTGAAAGTTGCTGTGTACAAAGATACACACCCAGGTAGGAAAACTCCTCGTCTGAAAATGAACCTGGGTAAGTGTTGGGGGAATTATTGCTTTTTTCCTGTTCTTATGCTTTTCTTAAGACATCCATTTACTGCTGTCTGTTGGACTGGCTATGATGACCTTTTATTCTGAACCAGCATAATCCTTACATTTATATCAGCAAGGTAGTGCTCAATGAGCCATACCACTATGAATTTGATACCCAAATACAATTCCTGTTGCCACTTTGTCTCTCTCACATCAGGGTCCAGGTTCTTCAGTAATCCACCCTGGAGGCATCCTACCTGGTGACAGGCTCCAGTCTGGGGTGAAAAATGCAGCTCTTTGGGCTGAAAACTCAGCTACAGGCTAGGATGGCTTACACAAGGATACTAGCTATATCAGGAGTATGTACTTCATCAAATTTGGCTCTCTGGTGTCTTTCTGTGTCCTCCAATGGTATCTCAATGGGTCTGACTGTCTTGAATAGTTCTCTATAGCAATACAACATCTACTGCTTCCCACAGGCAGCATGGACAATGGCTCTTTGCAAGACCAGTCATCCCCCCTTTAGGACTGTTAAAGCAACATAGGTTGACCTGGAGCTCAGGGAAAACAGGCCCCTCCTGGGGCCACCTGTGCCGGACAGTCCCAGAGGATTGGCTTCGCTTCTGGGGGAAGTTGTTTCTGGGGTGACTTGAATAGCTGATGGAGGAGTTGACATGAGGCTTGCTTTTGAGGGACCAGTGTTTATGCAGGCATAAAAGCATGAGTTTATTCATGCCTTGGTATCTGCAGTCAAGGAACAGGTGCACTGATGGAGCAGCTGGCTTTTACACTAGCATTTCCAGAACCTGGGTGACATTTCTAATGAAGGAGGAACCATAAAATCTCTGGCTATTCACAGCTCCCTTGTGCTGCCTATGAGGCAAGTTGCTGCTTTCAGCAACTTTGCCCATACTTTGACTGTGAGAACAGTTAGGGGAATCTCCCCAGGGACAGGGTATCACTTTTCTCCTCTGCTATTCTTGTAAGAAACCCCAGATCTTCCTCATTTTATGCTGTTTCCCACTTCCAGCAAGCAGCAAGAACTGCTCAGTGAGAGGTGAACGAAGACCAAGGGTGATGGCGAGATGGATGTGGGGTGTGGTCTTTTAGAACAGCGGCTCCTTGCCATGGTGCCCAAACAAGATGAGCTTGTTGGGCAACAGTATCCAGGGCCAGCCAAAAGCCCAGATCACCAGACAAGACCACAGTGATCAGTCAGATCCCAGGTCAAGTCAGGGTCCATACTGGTGACATATAGGGCCAGGTATGGGCATAACTTCATCATAGCTCAGGAGAGACTAAGGACAAGAGCCCTGCTTAACAGCAGCTCCCAAGAAGGGCAGCAAGTCCCTGCCAGTTCTCCTCACATC